TTAAAAAGAATCTGTTCAAATGAAACGATTCATTTGGTAAAAATTGATCGAAAATACACAGCTTTTTCTATCACTGAAATAAGACGGCATTTCATTTTTTTCTTTTCTAATATTTAAAAAAAAAAAGAAAGAAATGAATTTTAACATTTAGTTCTTGCATTAAATTTACGAAAATGATGATGAATGCATTTAAATCGTTGGTTTTTTTTTTGCACGTGTCTCGCATATGCAAACATTGATAATTATATTGATCAAATAATTTTAAGTTTATTATTTCTTTGCTTCCATCTATTTAATTATTTTATTTCATATGCAAGAATTTTTTTTTTTTGAGCAAATATTTGTTTTAAGGTATGTTTATTTTTATTAATGTTTCATAAGCACTTACCTGATTAGTAATTTTAAAAAATTCGGTAATTTTTAAAAAAATTTTTATTAATGTTTCATGAGCACTTACCTAATTAGTAATTTAAAAAAAAAAAAAACTCAAAATGAGTTGTGAATATGAAATATGATTTCAATTAATTTTTTGATTAATTCTTTGAATGATTGGTAAATGATTTTAAATGACCTTCGAATTACAAAATTGAAATGAAAAGCTCTGGAATTTTATTTTCCATCAAATATGTTGTAAAGTTATTTGTACTTTTTCTACTGAATAAAAATTCCTTTAATGTGTTGTTTAAGTTACCTTAAATACTACGCATTTTTATGATTAAAAGATTATTTTAAAATTACTGCTTAACATTTTGACTGTCAAATGTAAATACAAGTATGCTGGTTTTTAAATTTCAAGCGATATCTTTATTCAATTACTTAATCATATTACCGAAACTTTTCAAATAACTTTCTTTTCTGTAGCAAAAAAATTTCATACAGGGAATGTTACTAGTAAATTATTATAGCATCTTAACTTCATTACTAAAATTATTAATAAATTATTATTATGGCTTGATAATTTAATTACAAAAAAATGGATGACAAAACTTATTATTCAAGATTTTCCATTCCCATTGAGATTTTAATTGCATCATTGTTGTGTTTCTTTTTTCATTTTAGTATTTTCAAAATACAATTTTTTATTTTTTCCTTCTATTCATTTTTTTGCTGAGGAAAATTTTTACATCTTAAAATTTTACAGATTTTATCGTAATTCTTGTTTAATTTTTTTTTTTTTAATTTCAATTGCAAAAACTTTTGCATCAATTTTGGTAATAGCTTTGTTAATGGCAATAAAATTTGAGGAAATAAATAATGATTGATAAAAAAGGGGGAAAAAAAATAATAAGAATTGATAACTGGTTATTTCGAATTAGTCACTCAAAAAATGTGACAAAGTTTGGATCTGTCGATATTATAATTAACATGTTTGTCAATAATTGATCATAGCTGGATAATCAGATATGAAAAAAGCTATTTTTAAATTTTTATTGGAACTAAAAATTGGAAATTAGTTATTGATAATTGTAATTAATAATTGGAAATTAGTTATTAATGCTTTATACAAAAAAAAAAAAAGTGTCATTTCAGCATCGAAAATTTAAATTTCATTTTAATTTACAAAAATTACAGATTATTATGGAAGAAATAGATAAGTCATCTTCAGCTTCAGCATCACCACGTTCAATTCATTCATATCATCGTGGAAATGGTACATTACGTGGCGGTGGTATACAGAAAGTATATCGTACTGGACCGGTCAGTGTTAAATTTTTCATTATAATTCAATTCAATAACTCCATTGCTTTTTTTTTTTTTTTTTTTTTGAAAAATCTTATATAGCTTTATAATTTGATTATTAAATGGATAAAAATTTGTTAAAATTTCATCATATAATGAATGATATTTACTTTTTAGACTTTTAAAGCATATAAACGAAAATTGGATCATCGATTGGGATATTGTATTGTTGGTTGTTTGATTACAATTGCTATCGTTTTGACAATTTTTGGTTTATTTCATGAAACAGCACATCAAGAATTAACACAATATATCGAATCAACACGTCAAATGATCGTTAATTCAATACCATCAACAATATCAACAAGTACCACTACTACTGCTACTACTACTGCTACTACTACTACTGTTACCGATCTATCAGATGTTACATTTAGCAGCAAGGAGGAATTCTTATTTGATAATGATGATAGTGATTGGGTGAATGGTAAAGTGAAATTTTTAATATTTCAAAAAATAAAAAATAAAAACTTTTTTTATAATTCTGCAAACGATATCTTACAAATTATTTTCAGCTGTTACAAAAAAAAAAA